ATGGCAGTCTTGGTTATAATTCTGAGACAGAAATAACAGCATCAAAGACAGTGGTACAGCCACATGAAGAAATGTCACGAACACACTAAGATCCGTACCATGAAAGGGTATTTAATGACACAGCAAAATGCTTACTACACAGTGAAAGGAAAGAAAGGTTACAGTTAATGAGCTCCACACCTTGAAACACGCACATACGCATGGACAAGACGTCAGAAAGCATAAAAACCAATGAATGGATTTAACCGTCTTTATATTTCCACATCTGCAATCAGAAAATATTTTTATGATCAAAATCTTACTTTGATCCCTCCTCCCCCCGCTTTTTCTCTGGACTCCTTCCCTTCTATATTGGCTACTCTTCTTCAGAATACAGATACAGGCTACAAAACCAAGAATATCCACCTCACCTTCCTCCTCTTTAAGCGTTAAAGTCAGAAGCAGAGCAAGTAATTCCTCCCCTGCAAATTAATGCCATGTGTTATTCATAAAGCAAATGCTGGTGGTACCGGGAGATACGGCCAAAGTGGCGGACAAGCTTCCTGACCACTGTCACCACCAACCTTCACTGCCACCGACCCTCCAGGCCACACGAACGAGGCCGGGCTACGTGACTTTACCACGTCCCCACCAACAATGTACAAATGTACACTTCCTACTATTCTTACTTTTGAACAAAAGTCTTTCATTTTTGAAACCAAGCTTGCACATTTCTAAAGATATTTCTCATGTTTAGTAGCCAGCCCAGGCTTATCTAAGACGAGGGCCATGCAGAGCTGACAGGTCTCAAAAACAAGGCTGAGGAGGGAAAAGGTACCGGCAAGGTATGGACGTTCTACCTGAAGATGTCACAGTAATGCTTGCACGTATGTATGCACACACACCTACATATATGTGCACAGGTATATGTATACACACACACACAGCAAGAGTATAAAAATGTGAACCGGATACCCAGCAAATTAATGATATGGGTTATCTCCAGGGAGGGAGGGAACGATACCAGGTATAATGGGGACTTCTATCAGAAAATTTTTATTTCTTAAAAAAAAAAACCAACAAAAAAAACTGGTCTGAAACAAATATGAAAAATATTCACATATGTTCATATTCATTTGAATAACAGATACACAGGTGTTCATGATAAACACTGGTACTGTTTTATTTTCAATTCTTCAAAGCAATGAAGGAAAAAACAGATCACAGAAGACAAAGAACCCCAGACTACTTCTTCTGCTGTTTATCTCTCTTCTGAGATAAAGAACACTATTTGGAGGGCAAAGGGGGAGAATGAGGGACACCTGTAATACTCTCAACAATAAAAATTTTTAAAAGCCCAACGAAAACAGTCACATCAGCTAATAGTGACAGCTAACATGTAATAAAAGCCTACTCAGTGCCCCCTAAAACGAACAACAGTTTGAGTCTGCTGTGCCTTCTAACCACCGTGAGAGACCAGAAGCCAGAAGAGCCAAGTTCAAGGAACTCACAAAACAAAGCTTCCCTGAGGTGATCATAACTCTAAATCGTGGCCATCTCTGGTCACTGTGGGGCTGTAGAGTATCGGGCTCCCAGGGCCCATCCTCTTCTTGATGGGTGCGAACTCAGAGGCCCAGAGAAGGACCGCACCTGCCCCAGGGCAGAGGAGGTGTTTCTGCTGTTCGGGATGCAGAGGAGCCACTGGGAGGACTGAGCTCTCCCCGCCCTAGGGGAACTGGCGGAAGGCGCTCTTCCAGACATCACTAGGCACGCTCTGTAGTCCGGGGCTCCCATGTGAGGGCGCAGCAGCATCCTCTGCAGGGCTTAAGACGGAGGCAGGGCCTCCACAGCAGGTCTTGAGAGGGGCTGGTTAGAGACACAGACGCAGATGTGTTTCTAACAAGTTCCCTCCTGCTGGGCCGGGAACCCCCCTTTGAGAACCACTACTCTAGCCCACTGATTCCCAGCATAATGGGAAGGATGGTAAGACTCAACAGCTGGGGAACTTCTGAAAATACAGAGTCCCGGCCCCAACCCCAGAGGAGTCCAAGCCCCAGGCCAGGAGAAGGCCTGAGGTCCTGGCTGAGACACCCCTGGCCCTGTGCCTCCCACCCACCTTCTGTCTTCTGAGAAAGGTCAAGGACAAGGTCTCCACAGGCTTTCAGGGGCAAAACATAAGCTTCTTGCGCAACAAGACCACGCTATTCGAGAGAGACGCCGGCCTTCCTAACTACCCCGGCCCCTCGGTCCCGCAGGAAAGGACGGGCAGGGTGAGAACCACTGCCTGGCAAACAAGGCCCAGGGCAGGATTCCGTGACCCTGACGTGTCTGACTGAAAAGCCAGGGGCAAGAGGGCATCCCACACTACTTGGGGATGACCGCTCACCCTCCCTGGTCAGAGTAAGGCATGTTTTGTCTCACTTCATCCACGCCCCTCACAACAGGGGGCGCTGGGCAGCACTTCTTTGGAAAACGTGCTTGAATGTCGCTTGACAATAATGACCAATTATGCGTCAGCCACAATGTCAGGTGGGAGGCAAAAAAGACAGGATATGCGATTGTGTATAAGGCACGACCACGACGGCGTGAAACAAAAACTATTCATGGGAACACTGGGAGGAAACGCTCAAACTGCTCACGGGGATTGGCTTTCAGTGGTGGGATCCTGGGGGGGTCTTTTTTCTTGCTACCTGTTTGTTTTCCACGCTGTTTATAAAAAGCACGTATTACCTACATGACCAGGACTTAACTTTACTTTATAATAAATCAGAAGAAAAATACACACAGCTCAACCTTGCCCACGCCTACCGGTGTCAGCCCAGCGACAAGCGTCCTGCGGCGGAGGCTTGGTCCACGTGAGCAGGACTGAGGCGGGGACGCTCTGCGGCCTTTAGCAAGTGCTTCAGCAAACATTTACACTGGGCGCTGGGCTGAGGCTGCCACGCACCTGAGCCCTGCCCTCGGCGCAGAAGCCACCGTGCAGACGCCGAGCTAGGAGGCAGGGTCCTTCCTTCTACCGAGATTCTCTCTGGGCCCTGAGGGTGGACTGGCCGTCTTTTCCTTCCCGAAGTGGTTCCCGTGCTCCGGAGCTCTACACAGTTCCCCAAGAGCAGCAAACTGCCTGCAACTCGACAAGGTCCCCAGCAGTGCCGAGCCCCCTTGGCCAGCCCAGACTGCCCAGCAGGGCTGCTGCCCACCATCAGCGTGCACCCTCCCCAGCCAGCGAGAGCAGAGGACGGCTTGTGTATGCCACACAGCCTGCACCGAGCCCGACTGCCCGGGCTGCTCACGGAGAGCCTCAGAAACCGCACCTCCACCTGAGGCCCTCATCGCTGCCACAAGGGAGGGGCGATGACCTCCCAGCAACACCTGAGGTGGGAGGCCTGCCCGTCAGGAGTTCCACGTTGACATCTCCCTGGTGTTGATTCATCTGAAACCAGGTAGAACAGGCCTTCGTCCCAGCAACTGGGGCAAGTGCTGACTGTGACAAAGGACAGGACTGTCTTGTGCCTCCCAGACTTCCTCCATCAACACCTTTTCTCCTGTCTCCTTCCCATAATCCTCCCATCTTGGAAACTCAGTTGCCCACCATCCGTCCACTCAGGTGCCATTTCCTCCAAGAAGCCTTCGCACATGCCCCCCATGCAGCCCGAGTTAGGGCTCTTGTCTATGGCACTGTTGGCCCCGTCCGCTTCCCTGGCACTAGCACACAGCATCAAAAGCCCCTGCTTACCATGAATGGTGCCTGCAGCCAGGAATCAAGCCCCTCCACGCCCAGACCCAAGTTCCCGGGCAGCACCACCGCCTCTGCCCAGCTTCCCCTGCCCGTGGCTGTCACAAGGGCAGCACTAGCTGAAACCCACCAGCCTGTAGCATGCCCGGCCCTCAGTGTGGCTCCCCCCAGACAAAGAAACGAAGCCACTTCGGCCCCACAGTCCCCGCTCTCCCAGGCCCTGCCCTGGCTCCTGGCCCCTCCTCAGCGCAGCTGGCATTTCTAACTGAAAGGATGGGGCTGGTTGAAAGCCTCCCAGAGGCTGCTCGGAGAGTCACGGTGCTGTGCGGCCAACAGGCCATGGAATGAGCACAGACAGTGTCTGGCCCAGGATCTCAGTGAAACCTCGGCATGAATCTGGGACTTGTTGATGGGCACTGAGTGGTTCTTAAACCATGTTCCCTGGGGTCCCAGGAACCCACAGGGATGCCCTGAAGGGAGAGGGGGCTGAGCAGAAGACACCAGGGGCCCCCAACCCCCAAGTCAATCAGAGTCATTGGGTGTCACCTGAGACCTTAAAAAAACTCCTATGGGGGGAGGGGGAAGTTTCAGTGCTCAGAAAAAGTGTGAAAACCAGGGCCCTGCAGGGCAGTTTCGGTCCATATTGCATCAGCGCTGGCCATATAAAGACCACAAATATCAAAGATTTCACCCCACCTTCCCACGGCTGGGGTGGGGATTTTAACAGCCCTTCCCCATCAGGTCCTCCTACCACGGACTCTGCTAATGAGGTGTGGTGAGCACGGACAAGCGGGCATTCCACACGGTGAACTCCAGCGCTCCCGTCTGCAAGCTGGAGGCTCGCCGATTACAGTCCTGCCCCAACATAACCCTTCTGTGGTCCCGTATCTCCTTCAACCCCTTGAACTGCTGCTGTACAAAGACGCGCTGAGCTCTGGGTGATAACCACCTCAGGGTGCCCCTCCCGGTGCCCATGCCAGCCACTCCCCGAGTGACTGGTGCTTGGGGCCACAGTGGCGACCCAAGGCTCATCTCTGGGGCCCTCACAGCACCAGACCCAATGCCTCGAACACCGCTCAACCGACATTCCCTGGACGAGGTAAAGCAATTCAACATCTGACCCTCCTCACAATGCAAAAAACAGATGCCAGTGAGAAAACACACCAACTGTCAGCAAGCAGAAGCCTGACCGTGAACACATTTCCTCCGGGCTTCCTGTGGGGAAACCGTTTGAGTGGCGGCACTGCCAGGAGCACAGGACCCCTGGGGAGCAGAGAGCGGCCCTTACCTGGTAGTAGGTCTTGATGTTTCTCACCAAGATGGTCAAGTTCTGAATGCGGAGGTTCACGTCGTTGTTCACGTGCTGGTTGATGCGCTGATTAGTCGGCCTGGGGTCTCTAGGGGAAGAAACGCGAGAATGGAAATGGCGTCTCCAAGCGCTGACCTCACCTCCCTTCCCAGCGCTGGGCAGTCCTCGCCAAGCCTAGGTGAGTGTGGGGCTATAACCAGTGGGGCTCCAGTCAAACCCTAATTCTGCCCCTGCTGAGCTGTGGAACCGAGACACATCACTCCTGCTCCCATAAGCCCCTACCCTCCTCAGGCCCTTAACCAATGGCATTTCCATTCCCACTGCTAGCAGCACCCCTCAACCACCACCAAATGCAATGCAGACCCAAAAAGTTACAGGGTAAAAATCAACAACCTACCCCAAAATATATTTCAAGATTAAAAGCTGAACACACGAAAATATGAGTCATCAAGAAAGTAAAAGGGGAAAAAATGGTCCATGTTCTGACTTAAGTCAATAAAAATCATTAATGTTCTACTTCACATGGGTTCCCTTCCTCTGTCACCAGCATCGGTCTCACGCTGATCCTGCCTGTGGTTTACATTGTAGGGACACGATTCCACCGGGACAAACGGACATCAGTCCGTGGCACTATCTGGTGTACCACGCAGCCTACGGGAAATGCTAACCGTAGCGAGACAAGTGATGCACGGGGGAAACCCCCAAAGTGTCATTTATTTTCCGCTCTCGGGCAAAAGTCCGGCCTGGTCATGATGAAAGCAGTCATCTGAACCAAGTGACTTATAATTTCACTCATCTGTGTCTGTACAGGATGCGTCTCAAAAGTCTCCGTGTGATAAGGAAGGTTTCCTATCTGACGAGAACAGACATAACAGGACAACTCAGCTGCCACCTCTCCTGCTTTTCATAACAAAGCCCTCCCCCACGCCTTACTGTCCCAAGACACAGGAGGGAGGTCTAATTCAAATGAGGGCTGTCTTCATGGTTTCACCTGTCACCCGAGCCCTGTGATAAGGGCGCTGAGCCTCCTGGGAGCTGGTCTGATGGAAGAGAGGCAGGCAGGCCTCTTCCTCTGTCGGCGGTAACCCGCCCCCTCGATACATGAAGGGGGGTTGGGGAAGGTATGGAAATCAATCTCGATGACACTCGGCTCATTTGGAGTCAATAATTAATACAAAATTGACAAACAGGAAAAAACACACAACTATAAGTAGAAATCATTTCAAATGTCACTGGAAGTACATTTAAGAAAAACAAACTCTTCGATTTCGACGGAGCCTGAAGGTTACAGAGACTGAGACTAGACCGCTGAGGGGTGAAGTGATGAGAGAAGCTGCCTTTCGCTCTCTGAGGCCAAGTTCACAGCAGGAAGGGACTTGAGCACCACAGTTATCCAAAATGTAAATGAAGCCCACGTGAAGATGTGAGCGAAGAAGGAGAATGTAGCAGGGGTCACTTTGCCAGGATTTGAACATTACCATGATGGAAATGACAGTAACGAACTGACTGGCCTAGCCAGGGGTGGGAAACAATTGGCTAAATTAATTGAGGAATTGTGCCGAAGCAATGGGACCACTGGTGGAACTAGCCTCGTTGCAGCCTTCCTTTGTTACTTGGGATGAAGCTATGAAGATAACCAATAGGCGTGTAAACGCCATTGAACGTTATCATTCCCTGGATTGAACGTACCCCTGCTTAGATCATCACGGCACTGGAACAGAGAAGAGTTCTATAGATCAAAGAAAATAGAGGAGAAGAGAAAGATTCTCAAGGAAAAAATCTGAGAAGGACGTGGAGCAATGAAGGGCAGCTAGGGAGGTGGCGGAGCCTGCCAATCTTTTAGCTCCGTGGTCGGCAAACTGCGGCTCGTGAGCCACATACGGCTCTTTGGCCCCTTGAGTGTGGCTCTTCTATAAAATACCACATGCGAGCGCGCACTGCACGTACAGTGCGATTGAAACTTCGTGGCCCAAGCGCAGAAGTCGGTATTTTGTGGAAGAGCCACGCTCAAGGGGCCAAAGAGCGGCATGTGGCTCGCGAGCCGCGGTTTGCCGAGCCGCAGTTAGCCAACCACGGTTCTAGCTGAAGGGACAGATGAGGTCTTCCATTTGAACTATCTTTCCTGCGCTGGTTCTTTCAGAAGTCCTAACATCTCACCATTTTAATTTTAAAAAAATTAATTAAATTAAACTCAGCCATGACTATTTGATAGCTGCACTATGAGGCCCCACCTTGCACTGTGTGTATCTGAACCCCTTTACTCATTACGTGCAATACTCAGCCAGGGATCTTATTCAATCACCCTATAGCCCCTAAAATAGTCAGTGGGTCCCGTGGGGAAACCAGAGGACCTCTTTTCAACTGTCGTGTGACAACATTTTTTTACTATCTCCTCACAGTAATAGAGTCTGGCCAGGCTACACATTTCATGTCCCTCATGGAACCTTTCATGCATAGAAAAAAAAAAAGTTAACGGTTCAGTGGGAATTAATTTAGGAATAGAGGAGGCGTTCAGAGTTTAAACAGCAAAGGCACTTTTAGCTGCAGAAGTGCACCTACCATTACAAAACGATTTACCTTGACGATGCAATTCTCCCTTGACGACAATACATTAAAAGATAACAAGCAATTTCTCAGAGTGACAAATGTGCTTCTTAACGTGGCAGAACTTAGGGAACGTGCAAGGCTTTTTCTTTCATTTACGTCAGACGGGGACCACCCCAGGGGTGCCAGGAGCCACAGGGCCTCACCACACACAGGGACGCTCGCTGCACCTAGAAGACACTCCACGCACCAGGGTTGGGTCCTGGGCTCGGACCATCTCTGCTTCTCCCATCAGTTCTGAAGAGCGGTCGCTAACTGAAACTACACTCCCCAAGAGCCCTGACGTTTACTATACGAGCAAGTAAACTAATTATCACGATCATTAATACTCCCTCCTTTAAGGCTCTCAGGGTAAAGAAAGGTTATTAGGAACCAAATCAAAACAAGCTGAGTATGGTCTGTTCCCACTCTGCCCGGGACTGGGTAACCCCCTCCCCTCCGTGCTGCGGGAGGTACATCAAGGGCTGCTGATTCCGATCTGGGTCACATCAAACGTGTCCACTCCCACAAGTGCGCGCGCGCGCACACACACACACACAGTTCTGGGCCCCACATTAATGACAACGATGATGACATTTGTTGGGCATTTTCTATATACATGATCTTTTTTAATCCTCTCCAAACCTATAAAGTACCATCCCCTTCTTACAGAGCCTGAAATGGAGGCATAGAGAGTTGAAGTAAGGAATTTGTTCAAAGTGAAAAACTAGTGAGTGGCAGAGGGGGGGATTTGAACTTGCCTGCCTGATGCTAGAATCAAAGCTCCTAGGTAACTTTGCTACGAGACAGTGAAAAATGTGTCCGACGTGAATCAGACACCTTCTTTTCCCTTGGGTACCTATATACATGATCTTTTTTAATCCTCTCCAAATCTATAAAGTACCATCCCCTTCTTACAGAGCCGGAAATGGAGGCATAGAGAGTTGAAGTAAGGAATTTGCTCAAAGTGAAAAACTAGTGAGTGGCAGAGGGGGGGATTTGAACTTGCCTGCCTGATGCTAGAATCAAAGCTCCTAGGTAACTTTGCTACGAGACAGTGAAAAATGTGTCCAATGTGAATCAGATACCTTCTTTTCCCTTGGGTACCAGGAGGTACCCAGAGACCGCATTTACAGAGGAGCTATTCAGCAAGTTTCCCATGCGTCTCCATCCGCGCCACCCAACGCCTCACTTCCATTCAGGAATTCTCCTAGACCGGGGCCTCCCCTGAAAGCTGAGCTCACAGGGCTTTCCTGCTTCCCGGCACTGATGTCACCTCACCGGGAGGCCGGGGCCAAGAGACTACTACCGCAGCCTTCTTCAGTTGCCAGAGACAATGCCCAGGTGCAGCCACGTGAGCCCCAGCAGCCTCCATATGGCTCTGAAGTGTCAGGTAACATGCCTCTTATCTGAGCTCCAGCAAGCCAGTTAGCATACTGCTCTCTTTTCTCAGGTCCTACCAGCCCCGGGGAGAATTGATCAAAGCAGGTGAACAGCACACAGGCGAAGCTCCCAGCATGGGTGGTACAGCAGAACAGCCTGACCTGCTGGGTAGCCGACATTTCTCCCATTTGGCAGAAGTGAAAACAGAAGCTTAGCTTAAGTACAGTGTCAGATGTGGGGCTAGGACGTGC